GGCTTGCGAGAGGACTTCTCAGGTGTACAGTTGCAGATGGTGGGGGCACGGAGCCCTCAGGAGGGATGTGTGAGAGCGGGACAGGGAGGGAGGAGCCAGGGACCTGCAGGGGTGCAGTGGAAGGCGTGTGGGTGGCGGGAACCCCTGGGAATGGCAGGGCAGAGGCCGGTGGGCAGTTGTGTCAGGCGGGGATCACAGCAGAAGCTACCCTGCCTCACGTCCTGAGCTGGATCCACCTGCTGAAAGCCAGGCTGATGGGGGTCCTGCTCTCGTGCTTCACCTGCCTGGGGGCAGGAAGGGCAAAGTTACCAGGCAGATGGGCCAGGCCCCTCGAGGGCAAGGAGCCTCTGTCATGCAACGGGAAACGTGTGCAGGATCTGGAGATGCACGTGGACCAAGCAGGGAGCTGGCCTTCCCAGGAAGTGTAGGAAGGAAGGGCTCGCGCAGGGGGCCTCTCACACCAACATTCTTGCGAGCTCCCTGGAAGCCAGCAGTGCGACAGGCCGTAGGGAACACAGGCGGGACACGCCTGAGAACCCCGGGGGCCTTTTCAATCGCCCAAGCGAGAGACCGGAAAACCTAACGTGCAGTTCGCTGGCACGGGGCAGACTGTAACTGCTCTAATGACCTCTGTTAGCTCGGGTGTTATATCAATGTCGTCATAACCTAAAACGGGCCGGCACCACCGACGCACAGACCTGTTCTGGGAGACCTGGAGAGACATCCGCACTTACGGTGTACGCCTTCTCCACGTAGGTGTTGGGCCGACTTTACCGGCGTGAGGACGATGCATGAGCTGGGGTGGCAGCGGGGACGGAGCCCAGGGCAGAGGGAGGGCAACGGTGTGTCCATGGGCAGCAGGGGTGCTGCCCACGGTGGGGTGCTTGAGCCATGTGGCCCGGTCCCACCCTGGGCATGGCTTACGCTCAACGGCCTGAGCGGGCGCGGCCACAGCCAGCTCTCAGAAGCCGGGCCAGCGCCCGCAGCCCTCCGGGGACAGGCTGTCTGTCTGGGCAGTGCCACGTGGTGCGCAGCCCTCCACGCAGGGCCAAGCTGGGGAAGCCGGGGGCGGGCCGCGGATGAGCAGCAGGTCCACGCGGGGAGGAGAAGCATGCATACCGGCCATTCGGGGAAGACAGGCCTGCGTGCACGGCTCTGCCCAACGGCCACCATTCAGGGGGCGGGCGCCAGCGCGGGACACATGTCAAGGGACAAGGCCGCAGGGACGACTTCACCGCAGGGCTTTGTGTGCTCGTTACCCTAATTACAGGGAGGGCCTCCTTGTGGCTGGCCCCGCTCGGCGCCTCCGTCCAAGTCCCTCCGCCGCAGGCTGTGCCCACGGCGATGCGCCCATGGCTGGCCGCGTCACGGCTGCCTCGCCCCGCGCCCCTGCCGCCCTCTGCTTGTCGTCCCTGAGCCAGGCGCTTCACAGGACCAGGCGGCCTGTGCTGTGGGGCGTCCTCTGCACACGTGGGGGTGTCCTAGGGTCACCTGCCAGGCTCCTGTGGTATGTGCTGCGGCTTGCTGGCAGGTACCTGGGCTGCCCATGCGCAGTGACGAGCCCCTCAGGCACGGCCCCACCTGCCGCCTCTGTGGTCCCAGGACCAACCACACCACTCAAAGAAATGCGTGTAGGCGTTTACTAGTGAAGTGAACTCAGGCTTGAACACTGTTGATTGACTCTTACTTCCAAAAGGAATAGGACGTGGCTTAGAACAATCAACAGCTAAAGAGCACAATCTGAAAGCAGGGACCAAGCCTTGAGAAGTGGGGAGAGGTCACCACCAGAGGAGAGACCAAGGGAAACAACTGCAGTTTGATAAAGACAACGAAAACCTATGAACTGAGCTTCCCAGCAGCCAAAGTGAAAAGAGCGTATCTGTGTAAAATATCTCTAGTCTAATAAGCAGCAGCAAATACCAGTTCCTAACAACCCAAGCATTTTCTAGCACTGAATGCGACAACAAATTTTCATCGGGACTTTTCTATCAACACCAGTGGATGGACATTGAATGAAGAACAAAGTTTTAAATGACAGTTTTACAAAAACAAGCTAACTATGAAAATCCATCTCCACGCCTTTCACCAACTTACATTAAAAATGAAATTCAAGACGCTGCTTTTACAGAAGGTGCTGACATAAAGCAGGTGCAGAGCACGCTCACGACCTGATGGCACAAGGGAATGCGCCCCAAAGCCCAGGGATGGAGTGATGTGTTTCTGGCCGCCAGCACACCAGCCTGGGGTGTGTGTAGGGGTATGGCTCTCTCTCACCACCGCCTCTGCCATCTGTTCAGGTTCCACTAGCAGGCACCTGGGTCCGAGTCCTGCCAGGTGTAGTTAGTACCCGGCAGCCCTGGAGGACTTCCAGGTGAGGTCCTGGATTAAGGGAAGTCACATGGGGCAGCCTTACCCCAAGGTGCAGCAAGGCGGGGAGTAGAGCAGGGTTCCACCCAAAGGAGGCTGTGGAGCACAATGGATGGCCTCCCGTGGCCCAGTGCCCAGTTGGCCACAAGTGACGGCCCGGGGTTCTGGCTGGTTGAGACATCATGCAACCCACGTGGGCAACAACAGAAAGCTGAATGTCTGAGAGGGGAGCCCCCAGGCACAGACTTCTTCTGGAAAGGGGCATCAAGGTGCTGGTGGGAGTGGAAGTCGGGGTCCCCAAGTCTGACCGTGCACCTCCTCTCCCTAGGCTCCCAGGGTGCGTCCCTAAGAATACTAACCTCAGAGAAGTCCACATCTGCATCCGCTCTGCTCACAGATGACCCGGATCGAAATCTGGCCACATGGAGCCACATGGAGCCACACGGAGCCAGCAGTGCTGCAGCGACACCTGGCGAGCGCCGGCCTGTCCCATAGTGAACCCGTGTACACTAATCCGCATAGCCTGGAACTAACCTGATGGGGGCTTCTTGCCCCAGGTGTGAGGTCACAGCAGGGACAGGGGACAGGGCACCAAGCTGGTACAGGGGCGACCCAACAGGGGGGCTCCCCGAGGGCAGTGTGGGGTGACCTGCATGGGGCGGTTTGGGGGGCAGGGCTGGGGATGATCCAGACAGAAGGGGGCTCCAGGAGGGGACTCCACCATGCCCCACACATCCCCCACCGGGCTGGGTGCTCTGGCATCCCCAAACCTCTGGTGACCTGGGGCGGTGGCCCCGTGGACAAGGGGTCCCCGCCAGCACCCTGTAGCCAGGGGGTGGGGTGGGGAGGGCGGGTGGACGGGGGTCCCCACCAGCGCCCTGCAGCCGGGCAGGGGGAGCGGCAGGGTGGAGATGGGGTCCCCAGCAGCACCATGCACTGCGTGCTTTGGGTGCAGGTACAGTGAACCATGCACGGGGGTTGGAAGGAGGAGCGAGCTCTGTGCTCTTCTGGAAAAGCGGGCAGGGCTGCTTCTGGAGCCTAGCTCACGGGGCCCCCGGCAGGTATTGGGGTGGGGGGAAGAGGAGCCCTCACCCTGCAGCTGCGGCGAGACATCCACACAGACAGACCGAGGGGGGCCCAGCGCTGCTCTGGGGTGGACTGCCCCTGATCCTTGCAGCGGGTGCGGGGTCCATCACTCGGGTCACGGCCATGACAGGTGCACAGGGCCTGTGTGCTGCGGAGAAGCTGCCCTCACCGCCCTGCCGCTTAATCCTCAGGTCACCCGAATTCCACAGAAACGCACCCTCGGTGCCCCTCCCCTGCCCTCACCTTTGCTATCAGGGCCCAGCTCCCCTGCCCTCACTCTCTGCTCTCAGGACCCAGCTCCCCTGCCCTCACCTTTGCTGTCAGGGTCCCACTCCCCTGCCCTCACCCTCCGCCCAGCTGCACCCCACCTCTGTAACTCCTGGGCAGACACCACTCCAGCTCCATGGCCTGCAGGGCCAACTCACGCTCTGGTACTGGGACCCCTGACAGGCCTGGTCCTGGCCGGCCTCACCAGCAGAGCAGCATGGGGTGAGCAGAATGGACTGTGTCCACCTCATGGGAATGAATCGCACATGCTTTTTACCGAATATACTAAGTACACGTGAGGTATGTTCAGCAAAGTCATTGATTTTCCTAAGAACATACTTACATTTCCTCACTTTTTTAAAAAAGATTTTATTTGTTTATTCATGAGACAGAGAGGCAGGGACACAGGCAGAGGGAGAAGCAGGCTCCTGCGGGGAGGCCAATGTGGGGACTCCATCCCAGGACCCCAGTGTCGCAACCTGAGCCAAAGGCAGATGCTCTACCCCTGAGCCACCCGGGTGCCCCTATACTTATATTTTCTAATTAAATAATCTATTCACCTGATAATGATTTTCCTACAATTTTCAACAGGGCTTGAAAAGACACCTTGATTATTCCTTAGCAACCCCATTTTTGGTTTTATGGTTTCTGATCCTTTCGTTAGGGACTCGGGTGGATAATGTACAGGGAAACCACATTTTCTTGATATTAAAATTAATTAAGGCTTTTAGTATAGCTTCTTAGTTTATACCTTTTAAAAAATCATCTAGGTAAATTTTCATTTGGCAATTCCAAATTCCTCTTTATTTGCTTTAACGCGATACCAGCACATGCACCAAAGCAGGGGCATCACTCCATCCACAGGACATTCAACCACAAAAGCAAAATAGTCATTCAGTTCTTCCACAAAAAAGATGCTAAATAAATTATTTCCATTGTTACAAAATTGATATACAATCTCAGAAACCCTGAAAAAAGTGGAAAATCAAGAAAAAAAGTTCTATGTGAACGGAAACAAGTACCATTAACGTTGCGATGTATGTAACAGCAGACCTTCCCTGGCCTACCAGCGATTACGGCCACGGCTCCGTGCCAGCTGAATGTCTGCCCACCCTGAGTCTGTTTGCCCGTTGTTACCAGTTCCCTATGGTCCTTTCCAGTGACTGCGAGACACATAGCAGTGCACCGTGTGGCCGCACAGCGGCGTGCTCCCCTGACCCTCTCCCTGTGGGGGCTCCAGTGCGTCAGAACAAGTAGGACGCCGTGCAATCACGCCTCACCTGAGACACGGCACGCTCCTCCCACGTCATCGCTGCTGGAGGTGTCCTCGGAGGCCGGGCTGCCTTGCGGCTCTGGCGGAGCTGGGATGTACCCCTCGGGAGGCAGGCTCGCCGTGTAGAACCGCCTTCGAGGTGAGACCTTGGTGTCCCCATCTGCAGGAGACAAGGGGACTGTGAGCATGGCATACTGTGGCCAGAGGTGCAGTCACCAGTCCGTCCCCACGTGACAGGATGGCACATCCCCGACTCTGCTCCCCAGGCTGCACCTCCAGGGCCATACACTGGAATAAAGTCTAAGCGGATTAAAGACCTCAGTGTGACACCTGAGGCCATAAAACTAGAAAGAGCACAAGCATGTGCTCATGCTTGTGACGCTGGTCTCAGCAATCAATGTCTTTCTGGATCTATCTTCTCAGGAAAACAAAGAAAACAGAATCATATTTCCATTGAAAATATGGCAGGTGGACAAGGGAACCGTCCAGACAATGATGAGACAGTCTAAGGAAGGGGAGATAATCCCCGATGACCTACCCATCTTCTTAATCATATTTCCATTGAAAGACGGCAAAGCAATCTTGTGACAAATGCAAGTGGATATCCCCATTCATCTTTTGCAGAAAAATTGACATTTTAAAAACAACAAAACAAGGTTTGAAAGAAATCACTAATACGTATGACAGAATGTGGCTTTCAGACATTTCAATGTAAAAACCCGAAACACTCTCAAAATCTTCCACCATCAATGTATTTCACTTTCTTGAAGCTACAATGAAGAATTCAGCTCCTAGGCTACTTTACTTCACAGTCCATGATTCCCATCAATCTGGTGGGATCAGGGGCAGCTTCCAAGCAGACCACCCTGGCCACATATCAACTTCCATCCTTTCCACACAATATTTCTGGAAGCTTCTAGATGGTTCAAGTGAGCCAGTTCCGGTGGAGGTCACAGTACGTGCTTGGCTGTCCACTGCACCACGCAGGGCACCAGACACCGTGACAGCAGGCAGCTCATCTCCCACCAAGCAGGGAGCGGGTCCATGCGGGGCCTGCGGCCACACAGCAGGCTGGGAAGGCGGGGAGTGCAGGACACGGGAGCAGCTGGCGGGAGGAGAGGTCCAGGCCCCAGCCCACGGGAGCTCACCGGGACTGTGTCCAGGGCCCAAGGGGCAGTGCAGACGCTCACATCCAGAGGAGGACAATGTGGCTGGGAGCGGAGTGCGGATGCCCGGGCATCCTTCCGCGCCTTGCCTGTCCCCTCGGCCTGTCCCCTCGGCCTGTCCCCCACGGAGAGGTCCTCCACGGAGCCCACCGCTCGTCATCCCTGCTCCCCATGATGCTCACAGCAGCCGCGCAAGCCGACTTTAACAAAACCACCACCGTAAGCACATGGGCCCTTCCGATGTTCAGGCAGATGCTGTCGCTGATGGGGGAAGGCGAGAGGCTGCTCATGGCGCCACCATTCACAGCTCCTTCCTTCCGCGACACACGCCGCGTGTTCACTGAACCCACTTCCACGGCTAGCTGACCGACATTGGACTTTCAACTCTGACCTTGTCACGGTCCTGGCCTCTGCTCCGGAGGCAGCTCTGCCTTCCTGCCTTTTGGAGAACGAATGAAACTCGGCACAGACGCCCAGACACCTGGAGCCCTGCCGCCCACCCTGCCAGTCCCGGAGGTGACCCCCGTGTCCCTGCTCTGGGGAAGCCCGGTACTGAGTCAGGGCTCCTCCTCTGCCCTTTGTCTTTCCAGATGCAACATTCAGCACCGTCTTTTTCTACAAATTGTCCACTCACCCCAAGCACCTCAAAAACTCAGTAATTTTTAAAAAAATGTAAAGTCTTTTTTCTTAAAAAAGATTTTACATTTTTAGAGCAGTTTTAGGTTCAGAGCAAACTGAGGAAAAGGTACAGAGATTTTCCTCACCCCCTGCCCCAGCCTCCCGAGATGGGTGCTTCTGTCGGAGGGTACGTGTTACACTGAAAGGTCCCCCACCGACACATCCTCATCACCAGAGCCCACGGCCTTCATCGGGTCACAGGGTGTCACACGCTCTGTGGTCTGCACACGTGTGTGATGACCTGTACCCACCAGGACAGGGCCACTAAGAGCCGTCCCACTGCCCTAAGTACCCTCTGTGCTCACCTGCTCGTCCTCTGTCCTCAGCCCTTGGCAGCCCCTCACCTCATTACTGTGCCCGTGTCTGCCTTTTCCAGAAGGTCATGATTCCAGAGTGGGAATCGTGCAGTGCGTAGACTTCTCGGAGAGGCTTCTCTCACTTATTGGTCTGCACTTGTGCCTCTTCCACATTTTCTTGGGGCTTCCTGACTCGTCTTTTTTACACTGAACACCACCCCCTGCCTGGATGGACCAGAGGTCACGGATCCATCGCCCACCCCAGGGCATCTTGGTGGCTTCCAGGGTTGGCAGTCGGGAATAAAGCTGCTGGACGCACCTGCTGTGGGTTTCATGCAGACACCAGCTGCGTCATTCTTGGGGGTTGGAGGGTGAAGGGGGTCAGGCCACTCCATGCACAATCTCTGCCATCTTGGCCCCCGGGCCCCCACTCTTGTACCTCACACAAGAGTTCTCTCTTCGCTGTGGAAGTCTCGGGGCCACCATGATTCCATACAACTCAGCATGCTTTCCCGTTAAGAGGGAAGGAGAACACATCAGCCAGGTGAATGGAACTTCCTCTGAGAAGGGGTCCGACCCAGGATGTGCTGGTGGTTGGTCCGTGTACGGAGAGGACACGGGGGACAAGCTGCAGGCTTCCACGTTTACTGAGATGGGGGAGGGGGCACCTGGCAGGCAGCTGCGTAGACAGGGCGGTGTGAGCCGCAGAGGCTGAGCCTGGAGTCTGGGAAGTGGCTCAGACGGAGAAGTCAGCCTGGGAGCCTGACCTGCCCACACACAGAAGCTGTGGGACTGGGGGAAATCATCTGGGCTGCGGACAAGAGCGAAGTCAGAGTGACTGCGGGGCCCTCCAGTACCCAGAGGTGGCGCAGTCCCTTTGACATGCAGAGTGGAGTCGCCACATGGGAGGGAGGAGGAGCTTAATCCTCGTCCTGAAGGGCTGTGCTATGTGACATTCGTCCCAGGGTGTATGGGCACCGGTCTGCTGAATCCTCAACGACCACGTGGCATGTGTACTTTGAAAATGCTGTCGAGAGCAGCACCTCCTGCTCATGTGATCGCAGGCCCTCACCAGGGTCCCGTGCCTGGGGCTCGAGCTCCCAACACGACAGACTGCCTCCCGTAGTCCTAAATGTCAGCTCAGAAGCTCCGGGCAATAGACACAGTTACCAGGAAGGAGGCCACTCTCAGGGAAAACACAAAGTATCTCCTGCCTGCCTGGGGTAAGTGGCAAAACGCTGTGAAGATGCAGGGCTGGTTGGACAGCGGACACCACGCACCCATTCCCGTCCTGCCAGCAAATCTTCTCGAACCTCGACATTTCAAGAGGTTGGATCTACGTTGTAGAGGAAAACATGCCCCCACATGCACTCACCAGGCACCGACAGTACACACACGCAGCCACACTGCACGGGCTGGCACATGCCCCACATTGTGAGCTCAACCACACACCCACAGCGTGCACACCCATGCAACCCACTCCGAGTGCACGCACATGCTCCACACACCCACTGCCAAGTGCACCCATGCATCCCACACACCCCCACACTGCAGCGCACCCATGTGCCCTGCACCCCCATGCACTGCGAGCACACCCATGTGCCCCACACCCCCACACTGCAAGCACACCCACATGCCCCGCACACCGAGCACGCATCCATGCGTCTGGTGCACCCCCACACTGTGTGCACCCGTGCATCTGGCACACCCCCACACTGCATGCACACCCATGCACCCTGCACACCCACACCCTCCCACACCGCAAGCACACTCACATACCCTGCACACTCATGCACCCCACACTGAAAGCACACCCATGCGTCCGGCGCACCCTCACTTGTGTGCGCACAAACCACATCCTACGACCCCCACCATCAGTCTTATTACCCAGCGTCCAAGCTGCAATGTCACGGCAGCTACTTCATGGGCAATGAAAAGTCTCGCTGCCTCATCACTGGATGGTGCTTAGCTCTGGATAACACCTGCCAGTGAGGTGGGTCTGTGGGCTACTCTTTGTTCTGATGGTGAGCAGTTAGCCCGTCTGCCACATCCTGTCCCAAAAGCCGTCCCCCACCCTGTGCTTCCAGCTCCAGGTCCCGGCTTGGCCGCATCACCTCGGACATGCATCAGCAGGGCAGTTAGCTTTCAGAGGCACTTCCTTTTTCATGATGGTATTAACAAAAAAGCACAAATATCTGAGTGCTGAACGTGGTGGGTTTTTAAAACAAACAGTGAACTCTTGCCACTCCCCTGGGCATGATGTACATGCACCTTCCACCCGTGGGCCCATCCTCGCCATCACGGGCCTGGTGAAATGTCCTGTCAGAGGCTTCCGCAAAGCAGCACTTTTTCAATATTTTTTGTGCACTCCTTGACAATCTGATCGAAATAAACATGCAGGAGCAAGGGGCCGAGAAAAGCTGAGAAACTCTGAAGAAGAACAGCTGAATGGATTTTCCCCCCTGGGTATTAATGCACATCATAAGCCAGAGTAATTAAGTCAGCTTGGGCCAAGGGTACTGCAGGAGCCAGAAACCCACAGGGGATGCTCTCTCCTGTGAACAAGGCCGAGGCGAACCTGCCGGAGGTGAGGTGAGACCACCTCCCCGGCACCTGACACTGCACGGGGTACCTACCCCGGAGAGCTCTCTCTTAGAAGACAGTGAGTACCTACTATTAAGGTAGGAAAGACTTATTTGTCAACATAAAGAATAACACCCAGTGCTCATCTCGTCAAGCGCCCACCTCAGTGCCCGTCACCCAGTCACCCCCACCCCCCGCCGCCCACCTCCCCTTCCACCACCCCTAGTTTGTTTCCCAGAGTTAGGAAAAGACTTCTTGAGCCACAAACACCATGAAACATAAGCTTAAAGATAGTAACTTCTATACAGTAGAACACATTGTTGTTTTTAAAACTGCAGACAATCCATGGAGAGAAGGTACTTGCAACATACATAGTTGGTCAAGAGTTTAGATTTGGAATACAAAAAGAACTGAAATCTGAAGATACATAACCAAAA